GATTGCTGGTTGGTTTTTAAGAGTTCATTTTTGGCTCCCTTGTTTGAGTCATTTGCTGAAGTTGGGCATGGTTTTTGGCTTTGTTCTAAATTCCATAAATTCCATAAGTAGATGTGGAACCGGGAAGTTGTCCTCGCTTTGGGTCAGTCGGCTGGGGCTGATGATCTTAGGGACCCTCGTAATTGGGGAGATCCCGTGTCTTTTACTATACAGCTGTAGTTTCAGCAGCTAATTCTTTCCAGGCGAAACGGGAAACGGTAAGCATGATCTTGGATTGAAAATTATTTTAAGCAACGTTTCCCTCAAGTGAATCTCTATATAAGAAGAAATGTGCTGCATGAAATTTTGGATATGAGATAGATCCGGAAGGTGGCTGTATTTCGGACCTCAAATACTTTCAGACGCTGGGGTTTTGGGAGAAAAGACCATAACATATTTTCATGTTGGCCTGTTGGTACTTGACCCAACCACAGAGTTAAAGATTTTACGTGCCCCCTTCCCAGGTGTGTCTGCATCAAAAGGTAGCTGCAAAATTAAATATGTGGTTTTTTAAAAAATATATAATTCTTTATTGGCCAAGTGTGATTGGACACACAAGGAATTTGTCTTTGGTGCATACAGAATAGAATAGGGATGGGATAGGATAGGATAGGATAGGATAGGATAGGATAGGATAGGATAGGATAGGATAGGATAGGATAGGATAGGATAGGACAGGACAGGCAGGATGAGATTTTTTATTGGCCAAGTGTGATTGGACACACAAGGAATTTGGGGCATAGGCTCTCAATGTACATAAAGAATAAATAAAATAGAATACATTCATCAAGAATCAAAAGACACAACACTTAGTGATAGTCAAGGTTACTAATAAGCAATCAAATCATGCTAGGAAACAAATAAAACAATATAAATCGTAAAGATACAAGCAACATGGTTATAGTCATAAGTGGGGAGAGATAGATACTAGGAAGGAAGAGAAGAAGAATAGTAATACAGTCTTAGTAAATTATTTGACAGTGTTGTGGGGATTATTTGTTTAGCAGAGTGATGGCATTCGGGGAAAAACTGTCCTTGTGTCTAGTTGTTCTGGTGTGCAGTGCCCTATAGCGTCATTTTGACGGTAGGAATTGAAACAATTTATGTCCAGGTGTGAGGAGTCTCTGCGGTGTTAAATGCAAAAGGCACTCACCTATGTGACCCTGGAGTAATAGAATGTGTGAATGCTTTTGGGGTGGCGGGAAAAACCAGAATCCAGCAATTCAGGTCAAGCGAATCTTGTTCACCAGTTCCCTCCTGATAACAAGCGCCCCCTTTTTCTCTCGATTTCCTTTTTTTTCAGAACAAAGAAAAAGAAAGGATGAAGGAAGGCAAAGATAAGGACGCCCGCTACACCAATGGGCACCTCTTCACTTCTATTACGGTCTCCGGCATGACCATGTGCTACGCGTGTAACAAGAGCATCACCGCGAAAGAGGCACTGATTTGTCCAAGTGAGTAAGCGTCTCCCGTGTCAAGAGTTTGCAATGTTTTTGGCCGAGTGAAAGTGTGTGCTCAACACTTTTGTAAGGGGGAACCGTTTCCCCAATTCTTCCTCCCCACTTAAATTTCCCTTAAGTAAAGGTAAAGGTTCCCCTCGCACATCTGTGCCAGTTGTTCCCGACTCTAAGGGGCACTGCTCATCGTTTCAAAACCCAAGAGCCAGCGCTATCTGAAGACGTCTCCGTGGTCATGTGGCCGGCATGACTCAACTCCCCCGAAGGCGTACGGAGTGCTGTTCCCTTCCCACCAAATGTGGTACCTATTTTTCTACTCGCATTTTTTGCCTGCTTTCGAACTGCTAGGTTGGCAGAATCTGGGGAAAGCCTCCAGAGCCTGGGGAGGGTGAGTAGGCCACATACCTCATGGCCACTCCCACCGAGCAACTAGGCAGAGAACCGGTTTCTAAAAATTTTCAATCCACCATCTAGTGTTTTAAGTAGGATGACAGAGTGCGTTTATCTCCCAGCCGTCCACTGTCCTCCAAAGGACATTTTAGCAAACTCAGCATCCGGAAACACTGATTAACATCGGCTGTTAAGCCATAAGCCAAGATAACAAGCCTGTTCACATACTCTGTGTTTGCTTTATGTTAACCCTTTTCTTCCTTGGAGACTGCAGGGAACCCTTAATCTACGACCCCGGTGGAGCCCCAAATTTCTGTTGCTAAGCAAGGCTGTTGGGAAGTGAGTTTTGCCCCGTTTTAGGACCTCGACAGAAATGTCTCACTTAACGACAGAAATTTTGGGGCTGGGTTGTGCTCGAGGGATGCTTGTATTTCAGGGCGACTTTTGCTGGGAAATGCAAATGCTTTTTAAGAACTGCATATGCCGGTCTTCTGTTACTTACATCTCTACTTTTCAATCAATCAATCAGAATAGAGTTGGAGGTCATCTAGTCCAGCCCCCTGCTCAAGCAGGAAGCCCTATACGCTTTCAAACAAGTGGCTGTCCAGTCTCTTCTTAAAAGCCTCCAGTGATGGAGCCCCCACAACTTCTGGTGGCAAGTTGTTCCACTGGTTTATTGTCCTCCCTGTTAGGAAGTTTCTCCTTAGTTCCAGGTTGCTTCTCTCCTTGATTAGTTTCTATCCGTTGTTTCTTGTCCTGCCTTCTGGTGCTTTGGAATTTAAGTTGACCCCCCTCTTCTTTGGGGCGGCCCCTCAAATCCATCCATCCCACCCATTTTCCTCCTTCCCTCCCTCCCTGCCTGCCTGCCTGCCTGCCTTCCTTCCTTCCTTCCTTCCTTCCTTCCTTCCTTCCTTCCATCCATTAATCCATCCATCCCACCCATTTTTCTTCCATCCATTCAACCCATTTTTTTCTTTCTCTTTTTTCTTTCCATCCATCCATCCATCCATCCATCCATCCATCCATCCATCCATCACATTTTCCTTCCTTCCATCCATTCAACCCATTTTCTTTCTTTCTCTTTTTTTCTTTCCATCCATCTATCCCATTTTCCTTCCTTCTTTCCATCCATTCAACCCATTTTCTTTCTTTCTCTTTTTTTCTTTCCATCCATCTATCCCATTTTCCTTCCTTCTTTCCATCCATTCAACCCATTTTCTTTCTTTCTCTTTTTTTCTTTCCATCCATCTATCCCATTTTCCTTCCTTCTTTCCATCCATTCAACCCATTTTCTTTCTTGCTTTTTTTTTCTTTCCATCCATCTATCCCATTTTCCTTCCTTCTTTCCATCCATTCAACCCATTTTCTTTCTTGCTTT